GAGCGAACATCAGTGTGGAGCATATAGTGCAGACTCTGAGCTACACACGCACAAAGATGTATCTCTGCACAAGCAAAGATGGAAGAGAAGAGTTTTTCAGAGTTGAGCATGCAGTACCGGAGCATCAACAAAATAATTTCGTCATCGTCATAATTGACAAACACAACACTGGTCCAAATAGGAGAATGATTAAGTGCAGTTTATAAGTCGATGAGAGGTGATGTCAAATTTACAATAATTTGCATCCATTTCAAAAACCCAAGCATTTGAATAAAAAAGGATTATCATTAATACAAAATAAATTACAATAGATCCTCTGTTCAAATTCTGACACCGTACCACAGAGCTGGTGTGTCCTAAATAATTCTGTGGATCGATGTGTCATGATCTTGGCACTGATGACTGGATGATTGGTTTATTTCATCCACCTGCCTAGCGCCGCCAAGTTTTAATTATTATTCATCAGATCAACCTGTTCCAGTTCCTGTTAAAACCGTTTAGTCGCAGCCATCAGTGCCAGATTATTCAAGCCATTGGTGAGAGTTCTCTAGTGTACCCAGTCTGTTTTATATTTTATATTGTGACACTCCTACAATATAGAGATCTGAAACATTTTCCACCAATATTGAAAATGTGATTGAATTTTGATTTTCAATACTAACTGCAAGCATGTTGATTTTTTGTTTCAGGGTTTCACTGTTTTCATGACCTTGACAGCTTGCTTGTCCAGAGTCAATTGTTGCAGGACTTTACTATAACATGTCTGAGTTTTCCTATTACGGTAGCTTCTACTCTGTGTGGTGTCAAACCCACTTCAAGCAAACAACCACCTGCTAAAGGGTGATAGTTACTCTAGTTGATTATAGTATGACAAAAATTGAGTGCCTTTGCAATTTGAAAATTGTGTTTTGGTAAACTGAGCTTATACTGCAAATGCAACTAATTGCCCAGTATCATCTTGAAAGTTGCATGCAAAATCCCAATAACCCTATCCCTGAAAATGCCTTTCATTTCCTTTTTTTATTGCAGTTTGTTGTCTGCAATTTTTTATTGTCTTTATAGTTTCAACAGATTCTATATAGTGTGTCACATTAAAAGTTGCTTGATTCAGATGCATTTCTGTATTGTTTTAAAATTCTATTAGTAAAAATAAAAGTTGAAAAACAACAACAATTATTCTGTCTTCTTTTATTTCCCAATCACACAGATCTTTGTATTAATCTATCAAATACATTCCAGTAAAATGCACCATTTGTGGTTAGAATGTGACATATCATTATAGGGTTAAGCTGTATGAAGACTTCTGGAAGACACTATACTGTACATAAAAGACTGATATATACTCTTTGCACGTGCACACAGACCAGCTCATACCAAAGGTATAATTAGATGAGAACAGAGCAGTAATTATCTACAAAAAGAACTGGATAACAGCTTTCTGATGGGGGATCAAGCATCTACTGTATGACATCAAAGATAACTTTATTATTTCACACAGACATACCAAAGGGATATAAAATTGCTTTGTTCTTTATGTATTTTTTTGTAAAATACTTTCTCAGACTGCTTTTAAATCCTAACCTGCATACAGACAGAGGAACGCACGTGGTATTTCCTCAGTAATAGTTTGAGCCTCTGCATGACTGCTTCTATAAACCAGTGAATGCCTGAGGTAACAGACAGGACCTGCATCAGAGGACAGATAACATTTATCCTGCATGCGCTCCAGGTGACATTACCTCTGGAATTACAAGATGGGCTCTCTCTGAATGTGTTTATCTATGTTTGAGTGTAAGATAATCTTTCAAGAACGTTGAGATAAAATTTTAAATTTCACTGCTTATGCCTTTATACATTATATTCATGTTTATGTTAAAACGTCAGAGAACACATAGCAGAAAGAAATTATACAAAAAAAATCTTAAAATGAACCCATTAAAAGCTATTTATTTTAGTTTTTAATTCCACATCAAAATGGTAATCCACTACATAGTTTTAGTTCTTATAATTTTAAGTACAAATAAATACAACTCACCTCAAAATAAACTTTTTGTAGCTAATAAACTTAAAATATGGAGGTCCAGTAGTGCTGTCTACATGCACCAAGCATTACAATGTGTTCATATCTGTTGAAATCCTACCTTTGGCGCCCTCCTTGGGTTTAAACAGGGTTACTGCATCTTATATTTCTTTTGTGTTGATTTCCAATATTGTAATGTAACCGAAAAGAAATTGACATCTGTAGCTCTGGACAGGGGTATAAAAGTCTATAAGTACCTCAGTCTCTACATGGTTCTGTAGGGAGTTCGAGCAAGTTTAGCAAGAGACCGTAGTTTTAACAGTTTACTCTGATCTACATGTAACTCATCATGGCTAACACCAAATAACCACTATCAGGGACCACATCCGTACTGTAAGGTCAATTTTCTAATGTTAAATATGGGCTGAAGTACAGCTGTGAAATGATGTTGAGAAGTTCTTTAAGGGCTGCTGATGATTGTTTCCGCTTTCTTTCCTTCTTCTTACCCCTTCAATATAGGTTCTAAAACTCATCACTTATCACATCGGGCTGTTCATAACCTAGTTTCTTTCCTGGGCTTATAGAAAAATACTTTGATAATTCCCATTCTTCTATTTCTTTTTCCTTCAGTGGTTTGTGTGGTTCATTTCCCCTTTCTCTTTGGATGTTACAGATCGATGGGAACTGAAAGAGTTTCTACTTTTTTTCAACCTTTTATTCTTTTGAGTGAATTCTCCTGGACTTTAGACTTTGTTCCATGTGTCTGAGGTTATTCCAGGAAGGTTTGACTCTGCAGCTTGTGTTGGAAACCTGCTTTAGAACAAGAGGTGAATCTTTTAATGTTCCCTTTAATCAGACACTGTTTAAATGTTTTTGTGTTCAATCAAATAAAATGTAACACTGTGTTAACAGAGGTTACTGCATTTAGCACTTGGACCCACAGCTTATTTTTTGCTTTGATTGGCTAAAATCAGGCTGTTGGGT